TGTGTGTGTGTGTGTGTGTGTGTGTGTGTGTGTGTGTGTGTACGCGTGCATGTGCGCCTCACTGCCTTGGCTGCGGCTCAAACCGAATGCGCGCACGATGAATAATTCACTGCGGAGAGGCAGTGCGGGTGCATTAGGCAAAGACAAAACGCACGCGCGGGAAAAGCAGCCTGGACAGCCACGCCAGGGAGAGGCCATCGGCGCATCTGCTGCAAATCCAGAGCCGAGCGGCACTGCAGAACCATGCATTTCAGATTATGAGAAATAAAAGAGGGCTTCCTTTAACCGTCTTAGCAGTGTTAGGCTGCACCTCACCTCCGGGTTCGAATCCACACCTAGAACAGGCCGCTTTGCAGGGGAAACTGCACACATATCAGCTTTTAGGGAGCAGATAGCCGGGCAGCTGAAGTGAGGAATCGTAAAATAAGCCTGAATAATTTGCTCAGCTCCTCCGCGGATGTTCAGTGCGCCCTCACGTACATTCGTTACCCCTCAGACATATGCGCTGAAAATTGTTTTATTCAGTAACTTTAAACAGCAGAAGTATACTTTTCTATAACTGGCTCAGGAAAGCATGGATCCATGGTCATGTGACTGCATCCATTAATAGATGCCACTGTAAATCACTGTAAATCATTATGTGACCCCCTCCCCCCAACAAAAAAAAAATGGTTGGAAGAGGTAAAACAAAATCTGTGCTGTGCAAGTTTTTTACTTAGTAAAATATTTACCTTTCCCCAGAGTAAACAGAATTTACTTTCAAAGCTCCATTTGTTCCAGAAATGTTTGAAAGTCTGACAAGAATAATGTATGATGTTGTTAAAGTTGTTTATCATTTTATGTACGATTCACATTTTTCCATAGGCGTAAAACTGCTGAGTTTAGATAATGTGAAGAGTGTGATTCATGTTGGTGTGCCGTCGTTTCCCCGGTTCCTGATGGCTCTTTGGAAGCCCTGACCTGTGGGGAACACACACGGGATGGCTGACAGTGATGGAGCCCTTCCGGGCCACAGTCTGCTCACAGGATCTGTTAGAGCAATCGATATCTGAAGGATATCCGCGGCTTCTCCGCGGATCTTCCTGATGATACGGAGCGTCGGATCATCGGTTGGCCCATCACGTGGCTTCTTGAAGGAGAGCCATACCCTATATGCGTGCTTATTCCCAATAACACCGATTAAATGTGCTTCTGTGAGAGAAAAAACAATTCCAGTATTGTGTCTGTCATTGTCGTGAATTTGTCAGTAATTGCTGTTCAGCGATTGTGACTTTCAAGACTGTTTGGATTTCACACCAGGGCTGATATCTCAAGATCCTAGATTCTTGGTCTGCCCAATAAAGTAAACAAAGAGCTGTTAATCTCATCATTTAAAGCATCCCCATATGTTAGGCATCAACTGCTGTTGCACAGAGCTCTTTGTGAGTGTCTGTGTCTGCAACTGCACAACATCTCTGTGCTGCATGCCTGTCTGATGGGGATTTTACCCTTGTCTGTGCACACAGGTAAAACAGAGAGAAGTCCCTTTCCCACGTACGGCCGGGAGCCTGCCGTCTCCGGCTGCTCGGTGAGTTCGCCGTCTCCCACCCACCTTGCCGTGGCATGCAAGCACGTGTACAGCACACGCACATATATACTCATACACAGGCACAATACATGCATGCGTGTAATATGCTAATAATACACTACAGGTTTTGCATTCATTGTTTTTAATGTATTACGCAAGTGGCCAAGCATGAACAATTCGGCCTGGTTGTTTTCCACTGCTGACATCTGAGGGTTTGATACGCACACCAGCTGCGTCTGCGTCGGAGTAAAAGCATCTCAGTGCTCAGATGAAGGTGAAGAGATTGGGGGTTTTCTGGGAAAGTTCTGGCATGTTTGTAAACACCCTCCGAGAAGCCCGGTGAGAATGTGGCGGAGGGGGTGAGATAAGAGGCACGTCGGCACCCCACGGTTCTCAGGGAGGTCAGGAATTCTGGGAGTCGGTGTGGCCCAATGGGGGGGGCAGGGCTCACAGGCCCCAAGCTCTACATTCTCAGCCTGTACACTCTGTGCCCCATCTTCTCTGTCTGGAAGTCAGAGGAGATAGTGTCCTTCTCAGCCCCCAAAAGACTTCACTTTCTCAGGCCTTGAGTTTTGGGCTCCCTCTTCTCTCGCTTCAGAAGGTGACCTCCTCAGTGCCACATAGCTGTCCTGGATGTTTTTCTTTTGCCATTTTTTCAGTCTGGCTCTTAATACTGTTTTTTTTTTTGCCAATTTGGTTTACATATCATCTACTGCAGTGTTTCTTACCCCAGTCCACGATTTTGCTCCCTATCTACCTTTTGCCCTCCTACTGGGCGCTGGAAGGGAGCAAAAATGTGGAACGTCTGGGGGTCCCCAAGAACTGGATTGAGAAACACTACTCTATTGGATTGGATGGATGGATGGATGGATGGATGGATGGGGTGGGTTTACATTTGAATGTTTGTGTTGAGCTTTAAGTAAACTTTATTTAGGGGTGACTGCAGTGATCTTGCTGTTAACCCCGTGATTTATCTGCAGTCTGTTGCTTTATGTGAATTATTTGATGACTTGTAGGCCTTGCAGTGAGTCCTAACCCTAACCCTGACCCTAACCCTAACCCTGACCCTAACCCTTATACAGATCAGTCTCTGCTCAGGACAGAGCAAGTACCTCTGCGATCATCATGGGGGGTAATGCTGCCTTTCACTCATACAGCTGCCTTTAGAAAGTGGATTGCAGACATTTTGTGTGAGGACCGAAGAATCTTTGCAGCTCCGCAGCTGCTGAGATCTGAGGCTGGCAGGGACTCAGTTTGTCTAGTCGCAGAAGAAAAACAGGAAGAAGAAAAAAAAGTCATTTTGCTTCAGAGGGAATGCAGCAGGAATTCAGGCCGCAGAGCCGTCGTATTAATAATGTATAAGGCTGCTGGTTGCCATCGCCATCCGTTTGATTGTGTTTCGAGTGCTGGGCCGAGCTCGCGCGGTCGTACAGCGGCACATCGGAAACGGCGTCTCAGGTGCAGAGATTATCACGCCGTGTTTACGTTTTTAATGAGCCAAAGAGCGCCTGGCGCCAGCTTCATAACCTTCTGCTGGAAGCTGGAAATTGTCCAGTAACACATCCTGCAAACTTAATAAGTAGGCAACTATATTCACATCTTTGCCGAGAAGTGTATGGAAATGCGGCGCACGGGCGATCTATCAGTGCTCACAGCGGTGCAATAGCCTGCGATTATTTCGTGGAGCGAGCCATCCGTTACGGTGCTGTCATCGCGACGAGGCGAGCCGACTGTTTCAGCGGCGTTATCCTGTGATGCGGACACACTGAACGACAGGTCTCATTAAGCGAGCTGCGTGGAGTGTTCCGGCAAGCTGCGTCCTCTGGCTGCCTGGAGCATGTGATCTCTCAGTGGCCTGCCTCACCAGCTTCACCGGGCCCACACAAGCTGGGCTTGTCACCGGGTCTCACCAGCATCACAAGATCGCCGTGTTTCTCACCAAATCTTCCCAGGGCCCCCTTAGTTTGCTGTGAATATTGCCACGCACCGGCGTTCGTAGGGATTATCTGCTGGTGCCACCAGCCCTCTGCGATCACTGGGATTATCACCCCCATCGACTGGGCCCCCGAAATCATTTGGATTATCACCTGGTGCCCACAGTCTTCTGGGGTTTTGCTTGTAAGGATGTCACCGCCCCACAAATATTCGTGATGACAGTCCTGTTCAGGGCGTCTGTCCACGGTGCTGTGAGGAGGTGAGGAGACGGGGGGCCTGTGGCTGGGACAGGCGGCCTTTGACAGATTAGCGCCATTATCCGCGAGTCTGCGCCCCTTTGTTCCGCAGGGTGCATCCAGATGCTGGGAGGCTAATGCAGCAGGTGTCATGTGAGAGAGATTCCAGGTATAAAGAGCCTCCTTCAGTGCCGGTTTGGGAATGACCGACTGCTTTGTCATCGCCGGCTCCCATCGCTGGCTCATGTTTCCCCCACACACCATGCTGCCCGCTTCCTCCCCTAAGTCTGCATTCCTCTGAAGCTTTTAGCTGTTACTTCCCTTTGTTTTCTCACATCAGAAATGACAGTTTTGATATTGCTAAAGCATAGTCCTGTCCTGTATAAACTTTGTCTTTGCTTAAAAGATCATCATGATTAAAATTTGAATCATTCTCTCTGCCTGTACCTTCAGTTTATAGTTGCTGTGTCTTATCAGCCGCTGGTTGCCTTTAACTTAAGTCCTGAAAAGAGACAGAGAGAATGACTGACATTGATAGCTGGAGAGAGTCCCTGTCTTTCATTTAGCATTGCTGTAAGGAACTAACGGCATTGGGTGAAGGCGCCGGAATCCGATTGGTTGTGGCACATCAATGTCATGGCGGCGGTCCCTTTGGCAGCTTGTCACTCCAAACTCTCCCTGACCTCCTCTCCTTTTATTTGTCCGGCAGTAGAATGATGTCGTGCAAGTTGATGGCCTTCATTCTAATGGATCTAAATCAGGAATGCCAAATAGGTCTAAATTAGGATGGCCTAGTGTCAGCTGTGTAGGGATTTGTCAGGGCTGACATTGCCTGGTTTTAAGAGAGGTTTTATTTCAGCGGAAAGTATCTATGTGCTACAGAGGATACACATCAACCTTTTTTGTTGTGACTGCAAGTTTCTCGAGTTGCCATTCTTATGTTTGCTTATGTTCATTTTTTTTTTTCCTCTCCATTTTTTTGGCCCATCAGCTGCCAATCCCAATCCACAATCAGCTGTGCTGTTTACAATCAGCCTGTCGCTTTTGATTTCATCAGCTTAATTAGCCAGCTAGCAAATTGACATCATTTGCATTAACAGGCTGATTGACAGGTATCCTGTAGGTGTCGGATGTGTGTCGTCAGGATCACCGATCCCGTTTGTGCTCGTTCTCTAATATCATGAATGAGGAGCGATGGGGAGCGAGCCCCGTCATTTTATAATGAACAAAAAGGGGGCATGTGTTTATATTTTACCACACTGGCAGAAGTAGATTGTTTATTGAAATCATTTTGGGAGCCAAATGGACGAAGGGTCCCCATGTCACCCACATGCCCCATGTCACCCACATGCCCCATGTCACCCACATGCCCCATGTCACCCACATGCCCCATGTCATTACGTGTGGCTCTCTGCGACTGAGGGTCCGCTGTCAGCAAGCCGGCCGATGCTAACGGCCGCCTCCTTCCCAGCGCCCGAATTAGGTGAGCAAATGCTTATGCTAATTGAGATCGAGCATTAATGGGCCCATTAACCCAGTTTGCTGATGGATGACTAGACAAGTGGATGTGGGTCAGAGGTGCGTCAGCCTTCCCGAGGTCGCGCCGGCAGAGCGAGCAGAGGCCCTGGGGTGGCTCTCTGAGCGTCCCCAGATTAGCATGTTAATCCGCGGATGTCGGGCGCCGTGCGTGACCGGCTCTCCACCGCCGAGTGGACACCCAGTAATTGGATACGTGTTTCGCACGACTGTCTGACACCAGTGTCCGTAGCCTCACATGCTTCTGCAGCGGCTACTTCGCCCATTAAGCATCTAGGCTTTTTTTTTTAGGAGGGTGCCAATAGCTCCCCAGATCAGACAGATGGTTTAATGAGGCAGCGCCCCCCCGCACGTCACGGCCCCCCTGTCCCGTCCCGTCCCGCGGATGCCCATCCCACACGTCCCAGCCGGGCCCGGAGATGCCACGGGCTGAAAGCGCTCAGAATCAATGTCGCTCTCCTGCGGGAACCCGGGCTGAGGGAGATCGATAAGGCCGGCTGCTCTTCTATGGATTTCTCCCTGCATTCAGTGAGGATGTTAACCGCCCCGCGGCCAATCACTGGCCCCTTGGGCTCCTGCGCCACACGCCATCTCCCAGTTAATAGCCGTTCCCTTATTACTGGGTGTGTCAAACTCGACCAGTAACTCTCCTGTCCTAGTGTTAAACGCGGGGTCTTTCAGAGCCATGCAGTGACGGGCCCATCTGCCCCCAACTGCCTGTTTGTGCTAAAAATTACACAGTGAAGAAGGAACATTGATGGCCGGTTTCCTGCCATAGTTTGGAAAGATATTTTTCATCCATTTACGATGATTTTATTTTTTAGGGGTGCCTGATTCGAGAAGCTAAATGTTGATTCCTACAGTTCCTAACCTCCAAGAAGGGATGTGTTAGCGTGAGCGGATGCAGGGCTATTTTAATAATCTGGCATGAACCAAAGCGTAATGGAGCCCGCTGGGCCCATGACACACTGTGAGGGTTCTGTTCCAAATCTAAACTGGTTATTCGCACCCGCATCATGCCTCTTCCCGCCATGCAGATCCGGAATGGCCCTTTGTTTGGGAATGACATGGTGACAATCACCTGAAGGTCGCATTGTTTTGATATCGGCCCCGAAAGGGCTTAAGCGGCCATGAAAACATCGTTAGCTGTGACTCGACGTTGCCTTGTGGCCAAGCCTGTCCGTGAGTCACGCCCGTGGAGCAGGACTCAGAGTGGGAGGAACGATGGCCGTGAGACCCACAGGAGTCCGCGCTCAGCCTGTCGCCTGCTTCTCTCCTGCAGTCGGGTCTTCGGAGCGACGTGGGGCTGGCGGGTCCCGCGTCCGTCGCCACACCCGGAAAGGCTGCCCCTCCCTTCTTCTTTTCCGGCACCAACCCAAGAAGAAGACCCCTTCAGGATCCGGCCCCCATGGGTCAGTACCACCCGGCAGGGACCGAGTTGGGAAACACTGGCTTAAGAATAACATCAGCGCACGGGACGAACAAACAGAATTTAGCTATTGCTCAGGTTTACTTAAGTGACATTTGATTTATACACATAAAAAATAAAACTCTTTGTGAAATGACACTGCTATTAGCGGTCTGTTTGTGCTCCAGTAATAACAGTGCATTAGTATAGTGTGAAACTTGCCAGTGCTTTGCGTAATCATTGTGTATAAACAGCCTGATGATTGTAAATATCTGCTGCCTCTTGTGCTCGTATCTGTGGGTGTCCTTCGCGGTCGCGAGGCTTTTCTCAGGCGCCGTGCCCTTCATGTGCACTGACTGCTGCTCTTAACTCTCTGCAGATCCCTTACAAACAAAGAAAATACGGAAGGTCCCCCCAGGACTGCCGTCATCCGTGAGTGAAATGTCTCCGCTCCTGCCTCCCCCCTTCCCCACACACAGATGTCACGCCAGTTCCACGCCATTCCCACCGCGGGCCTTGTTAACAGTTAGGCACACGCGGTGTGAATCTGTCTGCGTGTGTATGTGTGTGCGTGCGCACATGCATGTGTGTGTGTGTGTGTGTGTGTGTGACTTGACCCCTGCCCTCCCTTTTCAGGGATGAACGGTGTTGTCTTTAATTCGGCTCTGTGTGTATTTAGTGGGGGGGGGGGTCGACCAGGGACTCTTGCCTGTCATAGAGCTGGGTCCCCCGGGGGGGGAGGGGGGGGCGGGGATCAGGGCCACGGACTGGCAGAGCAGAGACCCAGTGCAGGTCTTTTGATGTTTAATTAGTCATTATGTCGGCGAACAGGAGGACAGACAGAGATTAATAGCCGAGAATCGGAGAAATTTCCATGTGTGATAATCCCAGCGGAGTCCAGGCTGCCAGTGTCCCAGCCCGGGGTCATTAATATGCATGTGGCGCTCGGTCGGTCGGGCTGCTCGCCGCGGAGAGCCCCCGCTGCCTCCTGGAGGCCCTTTATTAAGTGGCGCCCCCACCAGAGGAGGATTTGACAGCAACTAGTTTGCGGAGATACCCTGACTTTGCTGGAAGATTCATCCTGCGAGAACAGATAATAAAAAACCAAAACAGCAGGTTTTGAAGAGTGGATAAGCTTACAGGACTGGAGGTTCATTATTAATCGTGATAATCGAAAGCTGTAGCTTTGGTAGTTAGGAACGGCGTTTCCACTGGGAGCCGAAACCAAGTGGGGGGGGGGGTGGAGCCTGTCGATTTGTGTTTGAATGCTTGTTTGTTTGTCGGGGGGCGGGGGGGGGGGCTGAGAGGAAGCCAATCCCGGGTGCTGGAGAAGGGCGGTGTTTCAGCTCTTTAGATAGGGAGTGAGACGCTGGGGACAGGCGGAGACCGATTGGCTGCCTCCTGAGATGCGTCTCTTTGTTGTGTAAATTGCACAAGGCTTTTATTGGTCAGTACTTAACACATGGGTGCAGGTGCACTCTTATGACTCATAACTCAAAGCGGCCAATCAGAAGGGGCCCAGTCTCCCCCTCTCACCCGTGCTCCGAGATCGTCATGGGGGAGCCCTCCTCTCCCACCCTGCCGAAAATGGCGTCCAGGGTGTGGCCTCGGAATGAGGGGGGCGGGGGCGGGGGCGTGGGCTGGGAGCCGGTGACCGTGCACGGAAAGCACCGTCTACCTGGAAGGAGTGCAGCTGCCGGCGCCGCTGAAAGCTTCTGCTGCTGTAAGCACTGGGCCCACCTGAGGTCTGAATAGCTGCATGATAAACATAATGAACACAACTCCTCATCATTATTCCCTGCCTGGGAATACTTATCTGTTTATTTTTTACTTAGTTTTTTTTTCTACCTCTCTTCCCTCCAGACATAAAAATAGTTTGCAGCAATTTACATTCCGGCAGCTGGATGATTTTTAAATGTGATAATGGATATAGATTCAATATTTGTGTGTTAATCCTTTCGGTGGAGCGTTCTGTGCCTTTAAATGCATGTCCTCCATAAGAAGATATCTGAAGTCTATCAGAAAAGGCCAGCTGGCAACTACAGTTAATGTGCCCGTATGTTTAAATGTATGTTTATAGATTGTGTGTGTGTGTGTGTGTGTGTGTGTGTGTGTGTGTGTGTGTGTGTGTGTGTGTGTGTGTGTATGTGGGCGGGCGGGCGGGCCTGTTTCCCTCAGAATTTAGAGTGGGGGCCATCGGCTTTTGGCATTTGGGAGGCATGAAACTGGGCCATAGGGACACTGCTGTGATTGAACCTGTACAGAGAAGGACAAACACAGAGAGTGATGTCCATGCTGAGGCATAAAGAGGCAGAGGCACTGACACATTAAGAGGGACATGAACAGAGAGAGAGGGACACAGAGACAAGAAGAGACAGAGTGACGTACACAGACACATGGGAGAGACACATGAGAGACAGACACATGGAGGCAAGGGGACACAGACAAACATACAGAAATACAGAGACACAGAGACACCTGCACAGTGAGACAGAAACAGAGAGACAAGGAGACACGCAGGCGCACAGACACACTCAGACATGGAGAGAGACACTGGCAGAGAAGCAGAGAGAGACAGAAACACAGAGAGACACCGAAACACAGACAGGGAGCCATTTCATTCGCTTCTCTCCCAGTGTGACTCCAGTGCTGATCAGCTCTGTGCCAACGAGCCTGAGTGATGACTGATTAGCGGCACTGTAGCTTCTGAGAGCTGAGAGCGCACGCGCGCACACACGCGCACGCACGCACACGCGCACGCGCACGCACACACACATAAGAACATAAGAACATAAGAAATTTACAAACGAGAGGAGGCCATTCGGCCCATCAAGCTCGTTTGGGGAGAACTTAGCTAATA